AACAATTTTCTGAGCAACAACTGGTTACTGCTTTTGCGTATAACCTTTTGCTTTAAAGCTGCTCAGACTAAGTTGGCTTCAAAGACATAAGAAACTCAGAGACATTATAAGACTATAAATGCTTGAAAATAAGTGACTAGAATTCTAGTCAGCTGTAGACAGGCAGCGGCAACCAGTTACCCTCGCAACGACACATCCTAACAGTGCCTTTGGTGAACGTTGTCGGACAATTTGCAACCTTACTAATAAATGCTTCCACCGATACTGTTACCGTTGAACAATAATGGATCGCAGTCATTCCCTCTACTTCACTGTGTACACTACTCACTTAGATGCTTTTGCTTTGTTTCTCGTCTACTACGAACATAATGTTTTTCAATACTGAAGCCTCACCATAAATGAACAACGGAATGCTGTGCTAAGCAGCGTGTTTTCCTTACCAAACAGCATTCGGTTTATTCACTTGTATATATATATTTAATTTTTTTGAAAGTGTTTTTTTCTAGTCTATTCCAAAGTTTCAAACAATCTGCTCTGTACAGTAATTTTTTAAACAAATCATTTGGCTCTTTCACAGATTAATTTTGGTTTCTAGGTGGAGCTTTTTGAAATTTCTCTCAAAGTAAAAGTCAACGATGCTGAAAAAAAGCAGAAAGTTTCTCCATAAAATGGCTTCAAGTTTATTGGCAACATAAATTCAGTAATAATTCTATTAACCATTGTAAATTTTTGAAACTGTTTAGTTGTTGAAATGAAAAAAGAATCTCTGGTCGGATGTAAAACCGATCAGAATTTGGCGATGGAATGTTCAGCAAATAACAGTGTTGAAAATTTGGACGCTGAAGAAGTAATGAGAGCTTTTGGTAAATATGGAAAATATCAGGCAAGCTTTTTAAAAGTTAATTTTGTAGTCTGGCTAGTCAAAAAACTTTTATTTTTGTTCTTAACATTATAAATTCTGCAGATTTATTAAATAAAAGCTTTTGAAAATTTTAGTATTTCTTATTTTAATTTCCTCAAAATATCTAAAATATCATGCAGGACCTTCATAAACGTGTGATTTGTTTTGCAGATGATTGCACACTTTTTGATTAATCTTACCGCTTTTTTCCACTCTGCAGAAGTTCTCGTCATGAGCTTTATTGCTGTAGCTCCGGACTTTGCCTGTCATATTGAACAGTCAAGCGTATCAGTGGAGTCGGTACAGTTTGATGTTTTAGACTTTACTGCATAAAAAATTTAAAAGTTAAGAATCTGATAAAAAAGAGAACGTTTTGTTTGTTTTTCTTATGATTACAGCGTCATTAGATAAGAAAACAGTTTGTTAGATAGATAAGGAAACGTTAATTATTTGTCGGTCTGTGTTCTCAGAAATACATTGAACTCAATAAGTGTACTATGGTCGATCAAAACAACCAAAGTTATGCTTGCAAAGATATACCAAATGCAACTTACAGCTTCAACGAGTCGACTCGATACTCGACATTAAATTCAGAAGTAATTAAAACAAGTATTTAATATTTTTATATAATCCAATACGCATAAACTATACTAATATACTGGTTTTTATAAATAGCGATGCATGTTGCGCTGCAGTTTTTCAAGTTTTTCTAGTCCCTCTTGTTTCTCATTTTGAATCTAAGTTAATAGTTATTTTCACTTGCCTAGATAATAGAAATTAGTTTAATCTAGAATTTTTTGGAAATATGAATATTACCGATTGCAAATTTTAGAGCTATAGAAGCAGTAGCAATTTTAATTTTCATAAAAAAAGAATGAGGAGACAAATTAGGAAAAAAGGAACGATGTTTAAAAAAGCAGAAAAATACGAAATAAATAGAAATTAAATTTCATTTTTGTAATCTTTGTCAACTACAGTTACTAAACCCTGAAAATTTGTATAAATCAAATGCTCATCACCAGTCTGAACATAACTTGATGTGTAATTCATTAACTTCAAGGTTGTTATTGAAACCTTCTTTGAGTAGCCTTTTGTAGCAGATTCGCTAGAGATCCTTCAGTTAACTGCAGCATTGTGGGAGGTGAGGGAGATGTGGATAAAACAAGGGGAAAATCAGTGATGCTTTGTCTTTTGTCTACTACTTCATTGAATTTTTTTAGCATAATCACTTTTAAAAACATTTTTTACGTTTAACATTGGCAGAACAAGAATTTTTGTCGCAAGGTCTAAAAAGACAATTGCTGTTTAGTCAAAGAATCTAACATTTAGTTTGACCTGGTTTGTCGCGACGAGCATTGGGCTCAGCATGCGTCGTCAATCTACATGTTTGGTAAGTGAGTTTAAAAGCTTGTGAAAGTTTCACTGCCTAACTGCTGCATGCCAGTATTCGTTGCTTATTTTTAACTTTACGATTTGAATGTAGGTGGCATGATAGTGACGCCATTCCTAACTCAACTTTCTGACCTCTACGGTCGTAAGTATACCTTTCTTGTTCCACTATGGCTCTCTGTTGCTGCAAATCTCGCGTGTGCCGTAGCACCAACTTACGGTCTTTTCCTATTCTTTCGTCTTCTAGCAGGTACCGGTATGACGGTAGGATTAAACTTTAGCTGTTGATACCACTTATGATGGTTTCGGCAAACAAAAAAAAAAGAAAGAAATTTTATCTGTAACTGCCAAGAGAAGCGTTTTTGAGGACACGGTTGTCTAGGGTTCCGCTACAATTGGTTGGGTGTTATGTTGTGAATCTGTCGCAATCGGGTTCAGATCTCTGATACCTTTCGTTGTCACGTTTACGTGGGTACTCGGCATAATGATGGTTGGGGTTTTGCGAATGTGGTTCAAGAGTTGGAGATTATTGTATTTTGCGATTTCAATTCCTGGGTTGATTACTATATTTTATTACTGGTAAGGGGTTTACAATTAATTATAAATCTTCTATTAGACTTTATAGAAAACAAGTCACTAAACTGTAGCTCTGATTCTTTCGCATTCTACATTACCTGCTTTTATCTTTTGGATTTTAAAATACTAGTGCTTTAGGTGGATTCCCGAGTCACTTCACTGGATGGTCAACCAAAAGAAGCATGCACAAATTCAAAAGTTAGTATTAATGGCTCTCTGTGGCTGCTGATCTTGCATGTGTTATTCCTCATCTTATTATTTATCCTTTTGCACTTTACTTATCGGTTAGTTTAGGTACATTAAAAAAGCATCAAAAATTAACAATGTTCAAATATCGTTGGCAAATTGTAAAGCGAATGCGAACGGAAGTACTGAAAAAACTACGCGTACCCTCCTTGACATGATTCGAAATAAACAAATCTTATACCATTTAACGGTTCACTGTTTTCTCACGTAAGTTTCATTTTTTCTTGTTATAATAGTGAA